AAGCATGTGTCGGAATCCTGGCCGGTGATCGTTTGTTAGTGCTGTGATGGCAATTCTTCCATGCGATGGTGACAGACGCTATATCGCGGCGATGCGCCGAGTCTCGTATCCGTCGACTTGAACCACACGCCAGGTTTCCACAGACTGGCATACGAGCGGCTTCTCCCCAAGACACGTGGGCAATGCTGAAGGAATCGTTCATTTCTTGGCCATCATTGGCTTGGTACAAACAATTTCTATCCCTTTGCGATTTTTTATTCTGGTGTATTGGTGCATCGCTCTAGATTGTTGTCTTGGCTGAATCTAACAGCACTACTTTGGTCTACAGCGTTACTCCACAGGCTCACTCTTCTCCCCCTTAACCACAGGTGCCTCTATCTCCGACTCGCCCTCCACCTCACGCACGACCGTTACGGCACTGCCGTACAACATACCCGACTCAATCTCCTCCAGTGTCCGGCCCTTTGTCTCAGGGATCAAGAGCGTGAGCAAGGCGACCAGGGCCATAATACCGGAAAACAGACCCAGGACGCCCTTGAGACCGATCTTGTCCGTCGCTGTGCCAAATGTAAAGGCGGCCAAAATGGCACCGGCTTTGCCCGACGCGGCAGACAATCCATGGGCGGTGGCCCGTACACGAGTCGGAAATACCTCGACGGGGATCAGAAACGTGGTGGCACTCGGTCCGACGCAGAGAAAAAACTGAGAGAAGGTGAAGAGCGTGAGCAGCCCACCGGCGGATGTGTGGTCGGTGACGCCCGCCCAAATGGCATAGAAGACGGCCACAGCCATGCTGCAAATGACTTGTTGGCGGACACGGCCAAAGAGGTCCGGCAGGAAGATGGACAGATAGTAGCCCGGGAGGAAACCCTAGGACTGTTAGATGCTGGTCATCCCAACGAATATGCCCAGGGGTCTAACGTACCGCGGCACAGACGATTATGTTTCCTATAGCCGTATTGTGAAGTGTTGCCCATGGCGTAGGGCCCGTTCCAAAGCCAATCTTTCCAAGAATGACGCTCTGGTTCAGGCTAATGCCGTAAAATGCAATATCGCTATAGCAGAAATCAGCTCTACGGTCTCTTAAGCAAACGTAGGGCAGATTGCATTGTCGTAACGTACAAGAGAAACCAGGTCGAACAGGTCGCAAACAACACCTTGGCATGCTTCCACTCGGCAAAGTATTCACGGAAATCACGGAGCTGCTGCGTCAGACCACGGTGGCCCCTTTGCAAGCTCGCGTCGGCACCGACATCTATTGCGGTCAATAAGTTGATTTTTTCAAGTATTCTTGACTGTCGTGCTCTACTTACACTCCTCGTAGGGCTTGGTCTCGGGCATGGTGAGCCGAGCGTATACGGTCAGCGCCGAAGGGATGATGCCGATGCCAAACAGAAGACGCCACACCCACTGCAGGTGGTCGATGTTGCTCTCCACAGCACCTTTGAAGGCTTCCAGGAGGACGACGTACACGACGCCGGATGCCATTGTGCCCAGGCCGATAGACGCAAAGACGAGGAGGACGAGACGCGCACGCGAGCCGACGGGGTTGTGCTCGGCCGAAAGAGATGCCGTCACCGGGTAGTCTGGCGTGGATTAGTGGTATTCTGATAAATCGGTTCGAAGACCGTGGAAGACGCACCTCCTCCTGTCCCTATGCCACTGAGAACTCGAAAGACGGAGAGCCACGCAACGATCCCATTGTGCGAAAACGTCGTGGACCAGGGAAGGAGAATCACAAGCAGAGTTCCGATGATGGTCACCAGCAGCTCCTTGCCATAGACGTGTCGCCGGCCCAGTGTATCCCCAAAAAGGCCAAAGAGAAACTGGCCGAGGACCATGCCAATGGACAGAGCGCCCTTGATGATGTCGGCAGGCACTGTCGGGACTTTGCCGCCCTCGTCCTGGTAGTAGATGTACCCAATCATGGGCACAACTATGCTGTCAGTTGCGGTGCGCTCTGTTTGCCAAAACGCGGCGTATTGAAACAACGTACCCAAACCAATGCTAACGTTCAGATAGCCATCACCAAATAGTCCAATGCCTGCTACAACGAGGAACTTTAAATCGGAGAAAAATGCCGGAGCCATGGCGAATAGAATCAGAATAGAATCAGAATAGAATCGTATTATGTGAGTGTCGAGAAAGAGATGCTCTGCTGCCTGAATCTGCAAAGTAATAGCCGTCCTCTCCAACACAAATGACCGTCCCCGAATGCTTGAAATATCTTTCCTCATCATCCGTCAACTTCGAATCCGTCGGGCCATCGCCGCTCTCGAATATGGTTGTCCATGGCCACGGTCCCCGACTATCACCATCGTCGAGACGAAAGCTGAAGATGGCATCAACACCAAACGACGCCACGTGCCTTTCGTACACGACACAACTGGCTCCTGAGGTGTGACGACCAGGATGTGTGGCCCTATAAGTGCTAGTCGATGTTTTGGTGTGGTTTTGGGCCACGGCATCAAGTCCGTGTATTAGTTTGCTGCTACCGCTGCCATGGAGTAAAATCTCACGAATCTCACGTATTCAGGTACAGATCAGACACGTGCGCAGCGAAGAAGTCCCGATGTAGTCTATTCGCAATTTCTCAAATTCTACTCTTTTACCATATATATCTTTCTTCCGACAAGTGACAGCCGAGACTTGTCGCTGCTGCAGCATGTGGAATCCAAGGTCTCCTGGTACATTGTAGACTGGTTGAAGGCCTGGTTGGTGGCGACCATCCCGCATGGTTCAATGACTTCAATGACCTCTTTATTACGCCGGGGTTTGACGGACTGCGTCATGCGACATTGCACGCCGTCGTGGTGACACACCTGGTGCGATTCGAACGGTTGATGGGCATCGACAATATAACATCGCCTTATAAAAACCCTTCAAGTGTATTGAAGTTTCTGCCTATACACGCCTTGTCACGTTATACATGTGAGCGGCAGGTGTTCAACGGCTTTAGTGTGTCTCATTTGGTCCGCACGGAAACTTCAACGTCGACCACACTCTGTGCTTGCAATAGACAGTTTCCAAGAAGAAAATTAGGAACACGCGACACTTTTAGCAAGAATACACCACGCATACAGACCATGCCGACGCACCTAACAAATGCGGCCCTCCCTCTAGTACCGGCCACAATCGACGATTTGGAGAGGCTGACGCGCATATTTTACGAGGTCACAGCATCGACAGCGCCCGTGCTCTCTGTGATCCACCCGCGCGGCGCAACAGAAGCAATCATCGCCAGCGATATAGCAGCATACAAGCGCGCATTCCATCGCCCGGAAGTGTTTTACAGGAAGATTGTTGCAAAGGGAGACCACAGAGACGACGAGATCGTGGCCATTGTGCGGTGGTATCTCTGGCCAGAGGGCCGCAACGACGCGGCCTGGATCCAGCCATACAAGTTCACGGCCGACCCGGCTCTGCCGCCGGACGACATCAATCTAGCTGCGGCTGATGCGTACTATAGCCAGGTGGACGCCATGAAGAAGCGACACGTGCAAAACATGCCGCATCTATGTACGTGGACGATGAGCTGTGTACTGCGAGCAAGACAGTGCTAACCGTATGTCCCAGACATCTCCCTTCTCGCAACACGGCCTAGACACCAGGGCCATGGCTACGGCAAGCGGCTTGTGGAAGAGGCCACGGCGATGGCGAAACAACGTGGACTCGACAACGTGTTCCTCTTGTCGGTTTCGGGATCGCGCTCGTTCTACGAGCGATGCGGCTTCAAGGTGATTGACACTTTGTCGCTCAACTTGGCAGCCCTGTCGGGTGCACAAGGCGACAAGCCAGACCAATGGGTCGATACATATATGATGCATGCTACACTCTCTTGATCAGAGGCAGGGAGACCGTTCGGCACAACACAGTTTATTGGAGAGATGCTGCCGCCGTGATAGTGTGCATGCTATCCGGTATATGAGATATTGTCTTCTCACTGCAGTCTGGGGCTCTCTTGACGGTTGCGCCGAGCTAGTCGCCAATGGTTGGGAGTCTCCAAGAAGCGTGAGAAATATGATACTGTGACGAATGACGGGAATCGGCTAGACGGCACACCGACTACCTGGCATAAAGGGTGAAGGGGGGGAGGGGGGAGGGGGGAGGGGGGGGCTATTTCCAGCTACGATTGCATTTGCTCCTGCAGGCAGGAAATTGCTCACACCACTCCTGCTACAAAGGTTGCGACTGTGCCGGAGCTGCAGGGCCCGGTCGTTTGCAGTTGGCCAAGTCGCGCCTGGTCTGACATCCGAGCATCTTGAAGCACACGAATAGTCGTAATTAGGAGGCCTTCGGACATCAGTTATAGTGCACCGGCTGTGCGGCGGTACTTTTCTGCCGGAAATACCCTAAACAATGCAGCAAACAGAAAATGGTGAAGACAGAATGCCCTCATTATCATCACAGCCCACAAGTGACGCAGCCTCCCCGTCAATCTTGGCGGACACATGAGCGACCGAAAGCCCGTCTTTACCCGCGTAGTTTCCGCCCAATGACACCAGCCGCGGACCTGGCTAGTGGGGTTTGCCTTTCGCTAATACTTATTTTTAGTGGCGTCGTGTTGCCCACAAAACACGACATACACGACATATTTTGTACAGGCCACCGGAAAGCGCCTTCCACACGGCCCTCAGACCAAATGTATTCCCTCCAAAAATACTCTCGTACAAAGTACGAAACACTTACCTCTCCTGGCCGGGCGGCCTCTTGTTGTCTTTTGGCCCCCAAATAAGGCGTGATTGCGAATATGAGTGGCTGGCGAGGTGGGGTGCTTTCCTCTCTGCCCCTGAAGGCATCAGCGACAGGCAAACAACAACAAACAACAGCAAACAGGCGGGACCAGTGCCACCTGCCATATTCGTGGCAACGGAGGGTACTAAAGGCACCTCCGCAGAATCTCAAACATTATCGACAACACCATGATGCAGAGGCAATGTCGTATCACCCCAACCAACGGCCGAACATTGGTCCATTTACGCGCCGGGCACATTCTAACCATGGGCTGCAGCATGGCCTGCGGTCAAGGCCGATACCCTCCAGGCCTGACCACTGCGCAGCCAATACACAGCCACGACATGGGCGCCAAGTTTCAGTTGAAACCCACAAGTAGAGGCAACAGGTCTCTCAGGTGAGTTGCTTGTGCGTGGTGAAGTATCCGTGTTGTTGCACGTACATATTAAGACACGGATCCCGACCATTTCTTGCTTCACAGCATCTTTGGATACCCATCCTAACCAGACATACGTCAGTGATTTGCCTACCTCAGCGACTTCGCATGTATCACGACCATGACAGCTGAATCTCAAAGGAACGGACGGACGGGTTCAGGCCGTGAAGCTGATGTCGGGATCCCTCCACCTGTCACCGCGTCTGGTAACGCAACTACGCCCCAGCAGCCAGAGACGTCAACACCACCGATGTTCATATTTGGCAATGGTCCCGCAACAACAGAAACGACACCGTCGCAAAACGACAGAGGATTCGAATATACTTTTAGACCTGCCATCAGCAACACTTCCGATTCGCCCTTCGACTCTGCGACTGCATCGCGTCGTGACACCCCAACATCCAGCCGAAGCAATGCCAGTCTGTCCTTTCACCTCCCGAGACCCGACTCCCCGCAGGCACAAGGCCAATCGACGGCGTCTCCCATAGTCACATTTGTTACAGCACCGACAAGCCCGACTGCGTCCACAGTTACAACGACAACGCCGACTGGAAACGTTGCTGCATCCGGGATAAACAGGACCGCTCCCATCATCGTGCCCATCGCCGAGCCCTTGCTGGCTACACACGCCACCGGTTTTGAACTCGATGGTGTACCAACAACCCGTGTTCCTGGCCTGACACGGTCAGACGTGCCGGAACTAGCAGCTTCCCCAGCACCTCCAGCGGATACTCAACCCCCTCGGCCATACAATCCACGCGAAGAGGAAGCCCCAGCCCAGCCCTTTTTCTCCCCCACAGTGCAAAATGCAATCGAGGATGGAAACCGGCTGGCCCAGGACATTTCTTCGGAAATCGCCAGACTCTTCTCCGGTTCTACTATGGATGACAACGTAAAGCATCTCCTCGACGATGCAAATCGTCTTAAGACGTTTCAAGGGCGGAGTGAACGCATTATAGCTGTATTGGGAAATACTGGAGACGGTACGTATCTCACGCCTCTGCCCTATTTATACAGTGTCTAATGGTTTTGTAGGGAAAAGCAGTCTGATCAATTCTCTCCTGCATGTTCCGGGTCTTGCTCCCGAGGTACGTTTTCTCAACATCGCCTGCTGCATATGCCGTACAGCAATCTAATATTACTCCTCGCCAACCACAGAGCGACAGTGGTCGTGCCTGTACGTCAATTGTCACAGAGTATCACCGCAAAAAGCCGAATCAGGAAGCGCCGTTTTTGATCGAAGTCGAATACTTGAATTCTGCCGGCATAAAGGAGCACTTACAAGAGCTGCTTTGGAACTACCGCCGCATCTATCGTCCGGATATTAACCCAGAGGCATTGGGTGATGACGAATACAAGCGTCTCGAGGCTACATCCAACACGGCGTGGTCGACTCTGCAGACAGCATTCCGCCATGAACGTGACTTTAGTTCCTCGTTTGCCCTGAACATGGAGGACGGTTCCGACGAACGCATCCTAGAACAGCTTATCACATGGGCGGGCCGCATTGAATGGCCACGCGGAAGTGACGAGGGCTTCTGGACAACTACGGCCCTGTCCGTGGATGAGTGTAGTGTTGCTACGCGGCCATTTATGGAGGATAAGTTCTGGCCGTTTACCAATCTAATCAGGTGTCTACAAATTCCTGTACTTCCAACCACTTGCCGTATTTACATTTTACTAACGGATCTCGATCTAGGATATTTCTCAGTGCACATGTGCTCGACTCCGGTATCATCCTAGCCGACCTCCCCGGCCTCCAGGACGTCAACCTGGCTCGAGTCCGTGCGGCACACGAATACGTTAAGCAATGTGATAGCATTCTTGTCGTAGGCCGCATTGCACGGGCAATCTCTGATCAGTCTTTGCGGTCATCTCTCTACACATCCCTTGCAAGTCACGCCCCAAACGAGTGGCAGGAACAAGGCGCCGCTCGCCTAAACATCGCCGTTGCACTTTCACATGCGGAGGACATTAATGTTCGATCTGCACGGCGTGAGATCCAAGACCCAGAAATAAAGGCCAAACTGGATCGCCTCGACATCGAGATAAACAATGCACAAGCCGCAGGTTCCCTTCGAACGGAACAAAATAGGAAACTCATGTAAGATGATGACTATACGTCCCATGCACGGAACTCGTGGCACATGAGACTAACACGTTATTCTATGTAGGCGCAAGCGACTATTAGTCGAAGAGAGAAACAAGAACGTTACAAAAGGCTTACAGGATGCTTATGCCTCCAAGATGAGCAACCAAAACAGTCAGCTGCCCGTTTTCTGTGTTTCCAACAAGTGGTACGAAAAATCTACGGCCACTGGAAACACAGAGCTCGTGCGAGAAAGTCAGATTCCCGCTCTCCGACGACACTGCCAAGCCATCGCAGCGGATGCCCTGCTGGGAGAAGCAAGGCACTACTTACGAACAAGTCTTCCCTCCCTCGTCACCTCGCTCGACCTCTGGGTTACAAATTCCATTGCCGCACAGGCTCTGCGGCGAGACGGCCGACACGACCGATCTGATCCCTCCATAGATCGCGTCCGTCAAGTGCTCCGTGGGATAGACGACGATGTATGCTCGACGCAGATTTCTCGAATACCATGCCTTTGTCAAGTTATCTAACTGTGCCATAGAATTTGCTAGGCCCGGAAAGTGACTGGGTCGACAACGTCGAAAGTTGTTTCAACGAGTTAATAATGGTATTTTTCGGTACGTCCGACACCCGAGCCCCAACGTCCACTCTGCCTATGATTGATCTCTAACGATGGCACGGCAAACAGCCAATAGGGGTGACATATGGAAGGATCAAGCTGTCACCGAAAGCAACAAGTGGACTGCAAAGTCAGGTCCTGTGAGTTCGAACCCGCACCCGTCGCCGCCCACCTTGAAACAAGTACACAAGGCTAATGACTCTACTTCTTTGATGCAGAACTACTGGCATCAAAGTAAGAGAACCAGAACTCAACCCCGTCGTCTCGCCTTGGCGTGGCCGAATCACTGACGCTGTTTTTACGCAGCCCAATACAATTCATGGTGTCTTCATGACGGCGATTGGAGCACACCAAAGAAGCCACATGTCAACTGGAATGCCGAGTTGATCTGGAGGATGCGGATCGACCTTGACTTCCAGTGGGACATTTTCGAAGAGCAAACGCAGGACGAGTTCAACGCCGTACACGAGAACCTTGGTGCAAGCCTCCTTGAGCTGAAAGATGTTATTGGGTCTGCAACTAGCGTCCCAGGGCGTGAAGAACTGGTGCGCTTGATCAATTTCGGCTTGCAGGAGTTCAAGCACACCCTGGATCAAATCGAGCGACGCTTCCTCGTGGAGCTGAGGTGCGCATCCATGTCAAAAGGAATAATCATGCATTGTGCGGCCCCCGACTAACACCTACGGCACATCGGAGCAGAGCGAAGCGCAGCAAAGCCAGTGAAGCCACATGCGCGTCGTATATTGTCGAACACATGCTTCCAGCATACCGCGACGCGTCACTAGTGGTTGGGACCGGACGGCGCAGCAAGCAGGAGGATATTATCGGCTCAAAGGTAAGCAGAGGTGACATTTTTCTCAGCATGGGCAGTGCATTGGCACGTGATATCCAGAATCTTCTCCGCGACACGAAAGGGAAGATGGAGCGCGCCATAGAATCGATGGCTGAAAACATTCTGCGGAATGTTAAAATGACATTTGGGGTCGATGAGACGCCCAACACGTCTGTACCACCAGCTGCCCTGCAGAATGCCGGATACAACGAGCACCTGCAGCACTTTTCGAGTATGGTCTCTGTCTGGAGAGAACAGCACTCGCTTTTGTTTGCGCGCGAAGATGGGGCGTTGGACTCTCTGTTGTGATTGGATGTATGTGTTTTTGCTTTCCCGGAATTGATTTCATACTTTAAGTCACTATATTAAGGTCGGTGTGATAATGCTCCAATTGGCTACGTGATGGCAGAACTGCGTATGTCTATGCTAATTATGCGCTCGCGACTTGACGGATGATCTCAACAATCTTCTCCGGCATGTTGAGCATCGGGACATGGCCAGACTTGATCTTGATCACATTTTCAAACTGCCCGGCTTGGATAAATGCCGCCTGATACTGCGGAAGCACAGCTTGGTCCTCCTCCGTCAAGACCCACGTCTTGGGGATCTTGATGTCTGACGCGAGAAAGTCCGGGAACAGCAGGAAACTTTGCCGCGATTGCGTTTTGATGAGATCGGCCCAAGCAGCCTCTTGGGCTTCCGGTGTGAGGTCGCTGTACCAAAGAGGAACACAGTCTTTTTGGAGGTGGAGGATGCCGTTCTGCATGGTGGGACGTCATGATCATCAATAAAACAGTCCATCCCAAGATATGGGCAGGGTCAGGGCGTGGCAAGAAACATGTAATATTGTTCACTCACGTCCAATATGTGGTACGGCAAAATGGGCGGCTCGCTGTTGTCTCCCATAATGCCCTTACCCCGAACGGGATAAGCAACGCCGGCGACGGCGACAAAGGAGACGATGCCTCCCGGCAAGCCGCGCGCCGCACGCTCGGCGACCGTCTGGTCCTGGACGACAAAGCTGGCAGGGATGCTGCCATAGCTGTGGGACACAAGGATGGCCGTGTTGCCCTTGTCTAGCTCGGGCAGCAACACGTCGCGTATGGCTTGGGCATCCTCGGGGACGCCTTTGGCCGCCAGGTCCTTCCATTCGGCAGACTCGGCCGTCGCCGAATGCAGGTCTCGGCAGACGGTGAGAGCTGGCATCAGGACGGTGTAGCCCTCTTTGCGGAGCGGTTCGGTGACGGCGTTCCACGACGAGGGCCGATGGAAGGCGCCAGGCACGAAGACGAGAATCGGTTTGGAGGCCATGGTGCAGAGAGTGGGATAGTTCTGTTCTTGCGTAAATATCGCCTAGCCGCATGGCAAAACACAAGACAAGCACGAATATATATACGTCCCCAGTCTCGCACATTCGCCGAGTTGGACGTTGGACCGTGCCTTGGGCTGGCATTCTGCGTTCTCGACCACTCTTAACGGTGAAGCCTGCTTATTCTAGCACTAACGCCCTGACTAGGTGCAGACGCATCTCACAGAACACGCTGCCCAACCGTGAGAAGTAGCGCTTATTGTCAGCACTTATTGCTCAGCTCCAAGCCCCCATGGATATCCCGCTCTGGTAAAGCCTTTCATTCCGCGGTGGAGTCTACGTAGTATTTTGCAGATGCTGCGGCGAGTAAACACCTTGAGAGCGGACCACTCGTAACCGCTAAAAAAACATTACAAAGAAATATTACCAGAGTACGAAGTATGGTTTGAAATAGCAACCTTACAGCGGACCTTCGAGTCTCCGAATATCCCCAGTCCGCAACAATGCCTGTTGCTGCGCTTCGAGGAGAAACAGACTGCGGCCTCCATTGTACGAGATGTAAATCGTACACAGCTGTCAGAAACGTGTTTGCTAGCTTGCTGGTGGCCAGCTTCCATTCTGCCGTGTCACATTCGTGGTTCCTTGTTAGTCTGATCTCTGCCTGCATCCTGTATTGTAGCTCCCTGAGCTTCGTTGTCGTCTTCAACCCAACCTGTGTTTCCTGCGAAACTAGCCGTAAATCGTATAGTGCTCTTCACCAGCTCGTCCTTATCTACGACGCATATGAACCCCCTCACCCACCGGGCCCCAGCCGTGACAACAACCCTATTCTGCTGACGAATATCTAAACAAAACGCAACCCAAAGATGCGGCACATCCTTTTCTAACACGTTTTCTAAGTTCTCCTCTTTCACCAGCATTCATACCAGTACTCCCTGACCACGCCATGAAGGTATAGGCCAGCAGCTCAGTTCATTCCGCAGTCGAGTCGTACTACATTTTACATCCACCGAAAGCACGCTACGAGCATCACATCGGCCATATTGGCCGGTATCGGGAAAGCCACGTTTAACAAGACTCAAAGCTTAAAATAAAAGTCATTGTTATCAGCGGCCATCATCCTTGACATCGCCCTGCTTACTCGCATGCTCCCCCTCAGTGAAAGCAGGACTACGGATGGATTCAATGTGGCAAAGGCACTTCTCAGGGGTAGATGGCTCTGCTAGTTGATCATACTAGGGGAGTTTACGTTCTGAGTAAGACAATGAAAAGGCGTAGCGGATAAGCAATCGTCAACACGTAGAATGGTGGTCGTGACGTTTGTATGTAAAGACGGCACAGGAATACAAAATACATCATCAGGGCGTCTCTCTCATCGATATGACAATGTCCGGTGAGCCCCCAACTCATGCAGGCATTAGCATTGTGTTGCAACGCGAACCATGTCCGTTTCTTCGTTTTGGTACATTTTTTTGGCACTGCTTACGTCTTTCCTTGCCATATGCGTCTGCACAATACGACATTTAAGCAGTCGCCGTTTCATTGACGCGGTCCGCCCCAGACCCTTCTGTCCGCCTTCCATCATCTTCCCGCCTTTGCTGATCTATGAATATCTACCTTAGGGCGACCAGCGGCGCGACAGATAGGCGGGCAAAGTGTCGGCTGCAGCGTGCTTGGTTTGTTAGGCAGAACTGTGCATCTTTTGTGGCAGACACTACTTCAGAAAACACAACCCACAGCCAATTTGACGGCTCGTCCTCTTCCGTTTTATTTAGAAAATAAGGGATTGGCATTGAGAAGATATGGGAATAGCACAAATGAAGTGCAAAGGAACATTGTTTTTGTGACCTCGAAGGATTTTATTTGAATTTTTGTAGAATAAACTTAAACTGCAGCGCAAAATTATCACAAAGTGCTCATTGCCCGAGCTAGAAAATCCAAGGGGCATTAGTAGCCATTGAGATTTTCGGGGCAGCAGCAGCAAAAGAAAAAGGAAAGGCAACTCGTAATGCAGTTCGCGTCGTCAGACATTTTGGTAAGTTTCCGGAGGTAGTTGGCTGGTTAAAAAGCAACGTGGCTGTTGGAAGTTTCCTGTTGTTTGTATGGAGCTGAATTCATAACCCAATGCATATGTCAGTATTGAGGCGCGCTGAAGAATGTGAAGAGAGGCGACGGTGTAGATCCGGAATGCCAAAAATCTCCATTGAGAGCCTTGCGCCCAGTATGGTTAGAGACGGTCTAGAGGAGGCGCATCTTACCTGTCAGAGGTTTTGCTGTGCTTGTTGCGAAGTTGAAGATGTTGTTGGTGGCGTTTTGGAGAGTTTGTGACCTTTTGTTTGCTGTGTTCTGCGGTTTTGTGTTTGTTTCTGCTGGGACTGGGATTCCCAGATGTCTTTCCTTGTGGGAGAAGCCCCCTTTTTATACATTTTCCGGGAGAGCATTTTGGTACGAGAGAACGGTCATAGTCATGCGCATATTTAGAAACAGTGATTCATACGCAACTAATTACGACACACAAGCAAGTGACCAAGCATCTAGCTTAGTGGTTTGCGGCACTGAATGAAAGGTTTTTGGTGAGTTGTTTACCCCGTCACTGCAGCCAAAGGGCGACTGCTCACCTTCGTAACAGCCTCAAATATATTTGACGATCTGGCTCTGCTATATCTTACTGATATCCACCTGCTCAGGCCGAGCTTCAAAGCCAGTAGTTGAGTCACGACGGATACGTTACGCGGCAAAATTACCACTATCTACAGTTCTGTGACAGGTTTGTAGTATACACAGTGTATCAACTATTCACCTTCAATGATAACTCACCACAGCACACCAGGCAACTCAACGTTGTCAGATAAATTTACTGTTGTCGCAAGAACTACGAAAACGTCAAGCTTCGTGCTTTATTTACTAAATATGCCATCTGCAAACGACCACAGCGACACGCAGCAATGTCTACCAAGCCCATCCGTCAATCATCGCATCTAGAAAACACCTCCGGAGCTACATGTGATCTGCCAACCAGCGTCACTGATTCTGCTCTTGGTCTCGGACCGAGTTATCCCCGGCCGTTGGTGCCTCTTCACGGCCAAGTTTGCCAACTTGCCGCCACACGAGGCTTTTACGGTAACCTCAGTGTACACAAAGTGTCTATCCGGACGGCAGATGCGCACATTGACGCGGCATTATAACTTACGCCAAATGCATATAAGCAGACTGTCGGCTATCATATCGACAAAAATAGTGCTCTATATTTACAACGAACATTTAACGTTAAGGCTGAACTCATTCCACAAGTTAAAACTAGGTTGTCTTGTCTCGGCCTTGACTACCGCGCAACCTCCATACGCTGACCATGTCCGTCCCTCTACCTTGTGGATACGACCGACGGGGACTAATGTAGTCCAGCCTCACAAAGGGTCCCTCTGTCGAAGTGTCCGCCTTCTTGTTGTCGTCCATCTGCATCCCATTGCCACCTTCGGCAAGGAGGTTCCAATATACTCCCTGCAACGGCCAGGGTGGGCCGGGCTCGTCACGGCTTTTAAAAAGCGGAAACTCCAAACAGACAAGTACGCCCGAGGGCCGAAGAAGCTCGTGCATCCGGCGAGCCCAGTCTTTGCGTAATGAAGGATGCAGCGCACAGAGGAACTAGCACACGTCAGTCTATAGTCATGGTTGGCCCTTGTTCTGTCACCAAGGCGACGCACCGTGTAGTCGTAGATGAGATCGAATTGGGCCGTGCTCCATGCGTCGTCGAAAAAGTCGCCGACCACAATCATCACGCTGCCCGCACCCTCGGCCGGCGGCGCGGTGGCATGAGCGTCGCCAAAGTTATAGTCGTGCGGATCTGCCAGCTCGCTCTGTGCATACGCCCGCGCTGCTTCGGCGGCCTTGGGCGAGCTCTCGAGCCCGACAACGTCGAATCCGTGCAGCGCGAGCATGACGACGTCATAGCCTCGTCCGCAGCCCGGCACCAGCGCCGTCAGCCGCTCTCCATGTCGAGGTA